GAATAGAATAGAATAGAATAGAATAGAATAGAATAGAATAGAATAGAATAGAATAGAATGAGTTGGAAGGGACTTTGCAGGCCTTCTAGTCCAACCCCCTGCTTAAGCAGGTAACAGAGAGTCTCAGGTGAGCTTCCCTTTCCTACCTTCCCTGGAGGCATTTAAACATATCCATCAGTGAATCTGTCACTATAGGACAGGGGTGGCCAATTATGGCCCCTTTAAGGACTTGTGGACTTCCCAGAATGGCTGGCCATGGCTCAAGAATTCTGGGAGTTGAAGTCATGAAAGGGCCATTGTTCCCCATGGTCCCCCATGCTGGCTCAGGAATTGTGGGAGTTGAAGCCCACAAGTCATAAAAGGGCCATAGTTCCCCCTTCCAGTGTGATGACTCCCCCGGACACTCCCGCAGCTATCTCTCCAGATGTCAGCTCGGAGGAAGATGAACCAGTTCCAGGCATGTCTCATACCGCACCAAAACCCATGTATGTACATGCACGCAGGACATAAAAAAAATATTGCGTCTAATGGGAATCTGTTAAAAGCTCTGGTTTTGCGTTGCAGGTTTCAACAAGACTGGAAGGCTCACCTCTATTCCCAAAGTTTTCAGTTTCTCTTCCCAAGAATTCATGACGACAGGAGGAAGAGACCCACGGGGTTTGCAAGCTGTCACCACCATAAGAACCTCTCCATTTGAAATGTCTGCAATGCAACCGTTGGGAAAATGAATCGTTCAACGTTGGCAGGTTAAACCACAGTCCATCAATTGCCACAATTCGCCGTAGGCCATCAATCACGGTTTACAAATATCTATGGAGGTCCTCAGTCATTCGGGTCATTCGGTTGTCCGAATGGTGCTTTTTTTTTTTTTTCAAGAGGCAACCGGACTTTCTCTGTTTTGCCTTGAAGACGTTTCGCTTCTCATCCAAGAAGCTTCTTCAGCTCTGACTTCAGTTCTGACTGAATCAGGGGTGAAATTCAGCCGGTTCTATCCGGATCGCGCGATCCGGGAGGGCCGACTGCACGAAGCCCCGCCCCACTCAGGCGAACGTCATAACGTCCCTTTTTTGCGATGATTTTCAGCCTCTGAGCATGTGCAGAAGGCTTTGCGCATGCGAGGACGACGGCATGGGCGAGCGAAGCGAGTGTGTGCACGGCGTGCACACATTTGCAAACCGGTAGGAAACATAAGTGAATTTCACTCCTGGACTGAATCCTTCTATTCTCCACCATTCAGTCAGAACTGAAGAAGCTTCTTGGATGAGAAGTGAAACGTCTTCAAGGAAAAACAAGGCAAGTCCAGTTGCCTCTTGAAAAAAAAAACCCCTTTGGGACATGCTTTGCAAAAGCATGACACTTGGGTTCACACAACACACTCAGGCAAAACTCAAGCACACCCCATCTTCGGCTCAGTGCAATAGGTTAATCAAGATCATTCTGGCTTATCGAGTAAGCCGGGGCTTAGCGCGACAGGCTAAACCCAGCCAACGCAACTATTTTCTGTCTGCCAAACCGAAGCTTAATTTGAAATGTCTTCACAGCACTGGCATTCCAAATTACCCACTTCTGTGTCTTGTGTGATTGTCAATTCCCATTAAGATTCAGATTTCCAGATGCATTTTCAGCACGACAGATTTGGGGAGAGGAGGGGTGGGGGAAAGAGTTAATGGATAAAATTTGGAAGACAGAACATCTAGACATTCAGCTTTGCGTTGTTTATCAAGTGATGCTTTTGGGAAACATTGCTAATGCTGCAGAGGAGAAATCGTGCGTTGTGCACATCCGTGAATCTCCAGGAAATGTTTGGAAGGATATTTTAAGTGCGTTGGGGAAATGACAAGCATATCAAAGATGTATTTGCTAATATATGTTTAAGATGAGCAAGACTGAAGCACACAAAAAAAGAATGATTTTGTTCCAAAGGCATGATATGTTTCATGGATTTTGACAAAAGCTTCCTTTTGAAAGAGATAGATTAAAACTGTCTCATCCTGGAACAATGTGACATAATTACATATCGTTTTTTAATGCCGTTTAGTAATGCCATGAGCTGAACTCGAAATCTTTTCCATGTAAAGGAAATGCTAACCTTTTTTTAGCACCTTGTTCTAAATGAACGAAATTTCTGTTTTTTTGTGGCTGGTTTAACAAAAACTTTGAAAGTAGCCTATTTCAAATTTTAATCATTTGTGGATTTTATCCAGTCCTCGACTTCCGTCCACACAATCGAGCCCAAAATTTACATTGCTAAGTGAGACATTTGTTAAATGAATTCGCCCCGTTTTTACCACATAACAAATGTGGTAAAAATGGGGTGAATTCGAAGTGAACCACTGAAGTTGTTAACTTAGTAACGTGGTTGTTAAGTGAATCTGGCTTCCCCGTTGACTTTGTCAGGTCATAAAAGAGGATCCTGTGACCCCAGGACATTGCAACTGTCATAAATATTGCCAGGCATTTTGATCAAAGGACCATGGGGATACTGCAATGGTCATAAGTGTGGAAAAACGGTCACGAGTCACTTTTTTCAGTGCCGTCGTAACTTCAAATGGTCACTAAATGAACACAATCAGATTTGGGCCATACACTGCATGATATTGACAAGTGGTGGGGTGGCCTAGAGGTGGAGCTCTCGCCTCACAATCAGGAAGCTGTGAGTTCGATCCTAGGTAGAGGCAGATATTTCTCTCTCTCTGGGCACAATGAGTATATATCTGCTGAACAAAACTCCGCATTGGCGACAGGAAAGGCATCTGGCCAATAAAACACTCAGCTCCATTCAGTTGCCCAGACTCCACCCCGCAAGGGATTATGGGGTCATTAAAAGAGGATGATGATTGCATAATATTGACATTGGGCAGTTTGCTGAGATCCCAAAAGCATGAAAACAGAAGATACATCACAGACTCCATCAAATTGCATTTAAGAAAGTAACCAGAGAGGATCTAATTACGTTGATACAAATATTTCCATCCTTATCTTAACTCCAGCTCGTACAATAGGATAATGATTTTCATTTAATGCTTTTGTTCATAAAAGCTGCTCTCCGTTCAAACAGAAGATTAAATTAAATGATTTTTAAAAAGCCCCAAACAGATCAACGTTATTATGGCTACCACCATGTTTTCCACCAATGGTGTCAAATGACTGATTTTTACCGTTTCTACAGAAATCTGGGTGCTCCTTTCCTTTATTCCAACAATAAGTGATGCTAAAGGGTAGTCCTCCTCCTCCTCCTCCTCCTCCTTCTTCATCACTGTCTTTGACTTGGTTTCCACCACAAATCATGTCGAACAGGTGTTCCACTGTGCAATTCACCCAACAAGAACTTTAGCTGTAAATGCCTGGTCTTTCTTCCTTGAAGATCCTTGCTGTTTTCAGGACGAGAGAAACAAAACATTTCATCGGCTCATTTCCTCCAGGTAGGTAGGGTCCAGGAGAACGATAAGACAATTGCAGGTAAAGATCAAAAGGTCAGCAGATGGCCCTCGGAAGTCCAGGCAAGCTTCATCCCTGTCTTCTTCTAGCGTGCTCCAGTGCTTTCTTTGACTCTATTGAGACATTGTCTGAAGCAATATCTATGTCTTCACCAAGCACCTGGGCGGGGTTGCACACCTCTGAGCTGCGCAAAACAGGTCCTACGAACCAACCCTGGAGACATTCAAAGCTTTCCCACAGAACTGTGGGGTTGTTGTTTTTTTTCTCTTCTGCTTTCAGAAGGTTTTTTTTATTTATTTATATGCCGCCCTTCTCCAGAGACTCAGAGCTGCTTATAATGCGTTAAGCAACAGCCTTCATCCTTTTGTATATTTTTATACAAAGTCAGCTTATTGCCCCCACAATCTGGGTCCTCATTTTACCTACCTTAGAAAGGATGAAAGGCTGAGTCAACCTTGAGCCTGGTGAGATTTGAACTTGCAGTAATTGCAGGCAGCTGATGTTAATAACAGTGCTTTAGTCTGCTGCGCTACCGGGGCTCTAGAAGTTGGGTTCTAGAAGTTCTTCCCAGCTCTGCCAACTTGTATTCACGCGAGCTTTTTTCCAGGTGATCTCAATCTACATGCACAAAGGCTAAATTATCCTTAAAAAAAAATTAAAAAAAGAAGAATCTATAAAGGGCCCTTCCTAGATTGCTAGGCCCTTCCTAGAACAGCTTCTCTGTTCTGCACTTCAGCAACGGTCCATGGGCACATCTCTAAACTTCACAAAGACAGAACAGAGATTGATGTCCTCCACTGTTGCATCCTTGTAGATATGACCACCTGAAATGATCATGCTTATTGACTTCTTTCAGGTGTCACCGAAGCTCCAGGTTGACTTGTTTAATAAATGTGGACAAAATATGGATTCCCGGAATAATATAGGGATTGCTTTTGTTTTAAATGCAGGCAGCATCCATCAATAGGAATAGCAATAGCACTTAGATTTCTATACCGCTTCACAGTGCTTTCCAGTCCTTTCTAAGCGGTTTACAGAGTCAGCATATTGCCCCCAACAATCTGGGTCCTCATTTTATCAACCTCAGAAGGATGGAAAGCTGGATTGTTGTAAAATAAGGGAGAAAGGGTAGAAGAGCAATCCCGAATATAATTAAAAAGAATTTGTTTTTCTTTAGAAAATATATGTATATGTATTATGGATAAGAGAATGTACATTTACAATATATTTATAAGAAATAAAATAAAAAAAACTTTTTTCAAAAAAAGGATGGAAGGCTGAGTCAACCTTCAGCCGGTCAGGATCGAACTGCTGGCAGTGGGCAGAGTTAGCCTGCAATTCTGCATTCTAACCACTGTACCATCACGGCTCATCAGCATTAGCACTTAGACTTATATACCACTTCACAGTGCTTTCCAGCCCTCTCTAAGCGGTTTACAGAATCAGCCTCTTGCCCCCCAACAATCTGGGTCCTCATTTTACCCACCTCGGAAGGATGGAAGCCTGAGTCAACCTTGAGCCTGGTGAGATTTGATTTGCCAAACTGCTGGCAGCCAGCAGGCAGCAGAAGTAGCTTGCACTCTAACCATCAAATGGGAGTTCACTGCACTGGTCATTGCTTTGCTTCAACCCGCCTTAGAATTTCATCACAGTTGCGAAACCCTGGTTGCCCTGTCAGTCACAATCAAGAACGTTTGCTTCTCGTGACTCCGGTTTTAAGATTACTCAGTTAGTTAGATTGCGCAGGAAGGAGGAGAAGGACTGGGCCACCCTTTCCCGCATTCGTTATCAGGCTGTCAAAAGAAGATTTAAATCCATGGTTTTTCCAAAAAAGATTTACGAATTCTGGGGTCTACACTTGTATGCTAATCCATACACCTTTCACCCAGTCCCGCACCTAGTTTTTTTAAAAATTTACTTCGTATAGTCCAGAAGTAGGCTTGTAGAGGATGTACATGTAAGTAGCATGTAAAGAGGAACTGAATCACGAAGCCGGTCGTAGGAAAAAAAGACATCTGTGAAGTTGAGCAAAGTTTAGCCAACTTAAGAGTCGGGAATGAAGAAGAAGAAAAAGAACTTACAAGCTAGTTGTGATTCTCGAGGCACTCCTTCACAAATCTCCATTGCCTTTTCTAGCAGCACACAAAGTTATACTTAGCATGACTTCTTTCCATAGGAAAATGTTCTTCCTCCCTCTCTTTCTCTTCTCCCTTTCTCCCTTTCTCTCTCCCTCTCTCTTTCCCCAGTCCCTTTTTCTCCCTCCCTCTTTTTTTCTCTTCCTCTTCCTCTCCCTCTCTCCTCCCTTTCTCCCTTCCTCTCCCTCTCCCCACCCACTCTTTTTCTCCCTCCCTCTTTCTCCCTTTCTCTCTCCCTCTCTCCCTCTCTCTCACACTTACACAAACACAGAGATGGAGAGACGGAGAAATATATCTCTGTCTAGAGAGAATATATCTATCTATATATATATCTCTAGAGAGGATATATTAGGAGGAAATGAGCATACCAGCTTCAACGTCATTCGTTAAAAGCACTTCCAATCTGCAGATTGCAGGATTTTTCTTCTTGTTCTGCCTCTTTTTTTTGTCTGTTTTGCTATTCTTTCAGTTGCAAAAGAATGCTTCAACGGTCGTATGTCTGGTTGGTTGGCTTTTTTTTTTTTCCTGCACAAATGCAAAGGTGATGAAATCAGGCCGCAAATAGGGTTGATTCTCACAGCTGGAGACAAGACTCCCCACATCTGGCTACAGGCTGGCGGTGAGGACATTCAGCCTAGCTGCTCCACCCTTCATCGTCTTCGAAATTGCTTGTAAACAACGCCGCAACGGATAATCCGTGCCGAACACAACCTATGTCTAACTGGATGCTGATCATCACTGTTATCCAGAGAAGTCCTTCAATCTTTATTGTCCTCCGTTATTGTAATGTTTAATGTAGCAGAGAGGAGAAATCTCTCGTCTTAACTGCACTTCATTTAAATCGAGTTATATTTAAAAGAAATGAAATCAGCCTGGCATCCTGCTCCCGTATGCTTCCTCCTGGCTCTCTTTGTCCATAAAACATTTTATTATCACATTACAAATGTGGCGTTTTTTGTCCTAAAATGACAAGACACAAACGATAAGAAAAAAAAAAAGTAGATCAAAATTAGGGAAGAAGGTTTGAAAAGACCAGCATCATAAACATTGACCATTTCCTTGAAGTCCACTTAGCTTTCTCTCAAAGTATTGAAAAAACCCTGGAGAAAGAGCTAGACCTCCAGACAACTTGAGCATTAAGAGACACTTGGTGGAGACTATGGGTGAGAAGATGGCACAGCCCTGATGTTTTCCCTTCCATTTTCCCCAAAACGTCTTGAATTCATGGGAAAACAGTACATTGAACATCACGGAAAACCCAGGAGTCCAATTTTTATATACAGAAAACCCTGCGAGTGAACCTGGCGAGTATAATTTAATGTATAATGGCACTGCTGATTTTCCTATGACGCTATTCTTTTTCATTTCCTTCAAACGTTGGTTAATTAGAAAGGGGGGGGAAGTATATTTCCTCAGAATTAAAATGCAAGAGGAAACAAAGAGTGCAGAGATTTTTTTTTAAAAAAAAACATAACCAACTCTGTGCGCCTGAAATACAGCTGGTGCTGTTGAGCTACTTCTTCTGTTGGCACAAGAAAACGCAGCTTAAATCCATTCAGTTTATTCTCTCCATTTGGCAAACAGTGTAGGCAAGTCAGATAGCATCGGTCCAAAGAATAAGATTTAATAAGCACCTCGTTATCGTTGTCTCCTTAATTAATTTTTTTTAAAAGCTTCTCCTTTTCTTCAAATACTTTGGCCACCTAATGAGAAGGAAGGACTCACTGGAGAAGAGCCTAATGCTGGGAGCAATTGAGGACAAAAGAAGAAGGGGACGGCAGAGAACGAGGCGGCTGGATGGAGTCACTGAAGCAGTCGGCGTGAGATTAAATGGTCTCCGGGGGATGGCAGAGGACAGGAAGGCCTGGAGGAACGTGGTCCATGGGGTCGCGATGGGTCAGACACGACTTCGCGAGCAACAACGAAAAATTATTTTCTTCCTTAAACCACCGTGCTGAATCGGCTGCAAGTGCAAGACTGCCAGATTTTGTAAGCTGTTGTCCGAGGATGTTTTTATGCAGCTAGTAGTCAGTTCTTGCAAATGCCAACGTTTGGTGAAACGCACTCTTAAAGCAACAGAATTAATGTCAGGGACAGAGAGTACCAAGAGCGGAGCATTTATATAGTTTTCACTCGTTCTGTTCTGGAAATCAGCCTTGCCGAAGTACAGGATTTATGGAGCCGGTTTTCACCGGAAGGCTTATGAGGTTTTGCGTAATCTTTTGAATTCATTCATAAAGTCGGAAGAGCCAGAGTGTTGCAAAACTTCGTTCCGATTCATGACTCCCTTTCAGAAAGCCGAGCAAGCAGTGAGCATACACCCAGCTGGTTCGTATTATGTTGTGCACATTCACTCACTCTCAAAATAGAGCTTCCTTCCTTCCACCCCTCTACCCCACCCAGCATGGGTGTTCTTTGGCAAAGGCCATCACTGATTCAGAGAGAATCTGTCAGCTGATTTACCAACAGCTTATCAAGTACCTAGAAGGCGAGAGTTTGACCAGCTATCAACACCACAATCAACAACTAAAAAGCCACCCACAACAGGCACCCTATGAATACCACACACATAACGGCTCAAAGCACACTGTTACAACCTAGGCTTCCTGAGTCATTAAAACACACTAATAGTCCCAAAAACCTCTTTTATTGCAATAGCTGTGAATTATGTTCATTCACAGCTGAGTCCCAATTAGTTGCAAAAAGTCCTTCGGGATAATCACCCACCTTTATCTCCCTTGACACGCTGCCAAAGACCTACTTGGCAAAGCTACACGGAGTCCAGAATCAAACAGAGATGCCGACTGGGAACAGAATTAACAACGTTGCATTCCTGCAAAGTGGCCACGGGCCTTTGCTCCTCTTTTAAGCCTTATGGGAGGAGCCAATCATCTCTAGGCCTTACTCCTGAGTCGTCCCTTTTAACTGTTCGTGCCTTCTGGCAGCTCTGCGCATGCGTGCAGTAGGAACAGGCTCCTCCTGTTCCTCTGCCTCTCTGCTGTCCGACTCTGAAAGCTTCCAGAGTCCATGCATCACTCCCAGATGGCCCTGGCCCCATCTCTGCTTCTGACGCAGAGCCCTCGTCCGGATCTTCCCCAGACTCCAGAACTGGCCCATGTTCCTCCCCAGCCTCCTCACTGTCTGACTCCACTGCCAGTTCCGCAGGCTGCTGGCGGACCACAACACACACATTCTGCTAGACAGAAGTTCCCCGAGGATGGGCTCCAGCATGAGTCCCAAAACTCAGAAGACTAAATCTCTGGTCTTGGTGATCGACCTAGATTGGATCCTGCAACATTATCCTGGGAGATGTAGATTCGCCTTCATTTGTCAGGGAGTTTGGGAGCTATCTGATGCTTTTATGCGGAGCCGCACAGAATTCTGCTCCAGAATTCAAGGAACAGATACACTTATTCACCACGCGCTTGAGAATTTTACTGATGTATTTGGAATAATTAAAAGAAAGCAAAACTTTTTTTTGAACTGGTCAAAATTCACAAGGGCAGGGAAATGTTGAGCTGATCATAAAAATAGTAACTTTAAAAGCAAGTGCCTCTGTGTATTCCTTCTTCTCTCCCCCTCCAACTTTTAAAGGTAGTATATCTCAGTATTTATTTGTAGTGCACTCTAGCCTTACTTTTAAAATTTCAACTGGAATGGTAAATAAATTATAGTCAGTCTGTCTGTTTTTGTCTGTCTGTCTGTCTGTCTGTCTGTCTGTCTGTCTGTCTATCTATCTATCTATCTATCTATCTATCTATCTATCTATCTATCTATCTATTGTGTTTCCCTGAAAATAAGACCCCATTTTATATTTTTTTTAACCCTGAAATAAGCGCTTGGCCTTATTGCCATGCGCTCAAAAGCCTGATTGGGATTATTATCAGGGGATGTCTTATTTTGGGGGAAACAGGGTATCTATCTATCTATCTATCTGCAGGTAGTCCTCAACTTATGACCACAATTGAGCCCCAAATTTATGTTGCCGAGAAATTTGTTAAGTGAGTTTTGCTCCATTTTACGACTTTTGCTTGCCACTTTTGTCTAAGCGAATTACTGCATTTTATTGGTTCGATTTATATGCCGCCTTTCTCCAGAGACTCAGGGCGGCTTACAATGCTTTTAAGCAATAGCCTTCATACTTTTGTATATACCTGCTTAGTAGGGCTTTTTGGCCCCCCCAAGCGGTGTTCTATTTTTATACAAAGTCATCTTATTGCCCCCACAATCCGGGTCCTCATTTTACCTACCTCGGAAGGATGGAAGGCTGAGTCAACCTTGAGCCTGGTGAGATTTGAACTTGCAGTAATTGCAGGCAGCTGGTGCTATTTAACAGCACTTTAGTCTGCTGCGCCACCAAGGCTCTTACTAATTTATTAAATTAGTAATACCATTGTTAAGTAAATCTGGCTTTCCCACTGATTTTTGCTTGCCAGACGGTCATGGCCTCATGACACTGCGAACGTCGTAAATGTGAATCTGCTATCAAGCATCCGAATGTCAATCATGTAACCATGGGGCTGCTTGCCACAGGTCGTGTGAAAAATGGTAATAAGTCGCTTTTTTCAGTTCCGCTGTAACTTTGGTCACTAAATGAACTGTTATAAGTCAAGGACTATATCTATCTATCTACCGTGTTTCCCCGAAAATAAGACCCCGTCTTACATTTTTTTGAACCCTGAAATAAGCACTTGGCGTTATTTTCGGGGAGGTCTTATTATTTTGGGGCGCGTGGAGCAAGACGGGGCTCCTCTTGCCCTCTTACCTGATTTCCAGCTCTGTGTTAAATAATTTCGGGGAGGGCTTATTTTCGGGGAAACAGGGTATCTATCATCTATCATATCCATCATATCTATCATCTATCTATCTATCTATCTATCTATCTATCTATCTATCTATCTATCTATCTATCTATCATTGATGTCTGTCTGTCTGTCTGTCTGTCTATCATCAATCTATCTATCATTTGTTTGTGTCTGTCTGTCTGTCTATCTATCTATCATCAATCTATCTATCATTGGTGTGTGTGTGTGTGTGTGTGTCTGTCTGTCTGTCTATCTATCCATCTATCTATCATCAATCTATCTATCATTGGTGTGTGTCTGTCTGTCTGTCTGTCTGTCTATCTATCATCTATCTATCCATCCATCCACCCACCCACCCACCTACCTACCTACCTACCTACCTACCTACCTACCTTCAATCTATCATTGGGGTGTGTGTGTGTGTGTGTGTGTGTGTGTGTGTCTGTCTGTCTGTCTGTCTGTCTATCTATCTATCTATCTATCTATCTATCTATCTTCTTTCTATCTATCTATCTTCTTTCTATCTATCTATCATCTATCTATCTATCTATCATCTATCTATCTATCTATTTATCTATCATTGGTTTGTGTCTGTCTGTCTGTCTGTCTGTCTGTCTGTCTATCTATCTATCTATCTATCTATCTATCTATCTATCTATCTATCATCATCTTCTATCTATCTATCTATCTATCTATCTATCTATCTATCTATCTATCGCTCTACCATTCTTATACCCAATGTTGGTTCCAAACATTTTATCAAAAGCTTCTTTATTATTGCCACATCAAAACTAAACAGGCCTCAAACCCTGTTTAATTCAACAACAAATTTCATAAATCAAAAGGTTTCTGAGCAAGAGGGAAAGGAGAAAAAAGGTTTTAATTTCTTTAACAACTCAGATCAGATGTTTACTTTTTCTTCAAGCACCTTAACAGCAACGCCTTGTTCAAGTTCAACAGGAGAATACACAGTTATTATTTAAATAACATTTTAAACATTTTCAGATACAATCCATTCTGCAAACAAAATTCCTGGGTTTTTTAAACTCTGAGTGAAGACAAGAAACAGATTTTATTTGTATCAGAGCACCTAAATCACACAGTTTGCACTTTAAGGATAGAGAAAAGTATCCGGGCACTTATCTTTACTGACTTCTTGTCAGTAAATACTTCTTGGGGTGAAAGCGATCCTTTAATACTCAGTACGATTTATCCAACATCAATCTTCTACGCTAGACATCTATGATATAATGCACTTTGGGGACACAGAACCAGCCTACATAGAAACTTCAAAAATGCTACAAAAGGGGGGAAGACAAGAAACCTCGATGAAAAAAGGGGTGAGAAAAGAGAAAGAGATAATCTACACCTCTTGGGAATTAAGTAATGCACCTTTATCAAAAGGGGTGCAGCTAAAGCTGGTATTTGCTGAATATTTCCTGAAGGACCAAAGATTCTGTCTATCCGTTGATCCGATAGTTCGAATGGATTTGAGGCTTGATGTCAAAGATCAAATCCAGCAAACTGTCCATCACTTCCTCCCGATTCTTTTGGAAGTTCTCCTGAAGAATGCCCATCTTCTCCTGGGTTCCTTGTTCCACCACAGTGGCGGAACTGCCGTGGGAGCCAAGTGCCTGCGATAAAGGGAGACAAAAGAAAAAAGAAAACGAAGGCTACCATTTAAAATTCAGCTTGTCCAGTTAAGTTCTGCATTTCTAAGAACCTTCAATGCCTCTGTGTGACACAGCCTAGCAGTGTTTAAGCAAGCAGGGAGGGGAAAAAATCTGTTTGTTTTTTTTAAAACAACCCACAATCATGTGATGATTATGCCTCCACAGTTCCCCAAACTGCAGAAGCCAATTTAACGCTCAAAGTCCTAGACTGAATTCTTATCCTTTCAGAAAGGAAGAGATCAGATGATTTTGGGGGCAAAACTCGAAACTGGAAAATTACAGGCAATCCTTGAGTTACAGCCACCACGGAGCCCAACATTTTTGTGGTTGTGAGACATTCGTTAATTCGAGATTAGCAAAAATGTATTCAAATTTAAGTCCAACCTGTTGGAAGTGCAAACAGGCACAGGGTACTTTCTTCCACGTCTGGTGGCTTTGCCCCAAAATTAGGAAGTATTGGGAAAAACTAAGAATAGAAATAACATCGGAAAAAATAGAACTTAAACCAGAGATTTTCCTATTAGGGATGATTAAAGAAAACTATAGGAAAGAAATAAAGTATTTAATATTACACATAGTCACTGCAGCCAGATTGGCACTCGCCCAATATTGGAAAACTGACCAACTGCCAACAGATCAATTGATAATCCAAAAAATCTATAATTGCGCGGAAATGGACAAACTTAACATTTGAAATGAAGGACAAGGTAGACTCAAAATGTTATATAGCGTGAAATAGGTGGTGATTGGATAACTCGCAAAAATGAGAGTAAATGAAAAATTTTGTATGATAATAATTAACAAATATGCACCGTTAATAAGATAATGGACGTGTAACCAGTCACTTTTTCTTTTTATGTATTGTCGTTTGTATTAATATATATATGTATCTTGTATATACATAGTATAGTATTTTACTTTTATATGTTTAAAAAAGTTTTGTTTTTAAAACCAAAAAAAAAAAAAAAAGAAAGAGACATTCGTTAAGTAAGTTTTGACCCATTTTATCATGTTCCTTGCCGCATTTGTTAAGCGAATCACTTGCGGTTGGTAAGTTAGTAACGTGGTCATTGAGTAAATCCGGCTTCCCCGTTGACTTTGCTCACCAGAAGGCCGCAAAAGGGGATTGCGAGACTCCAGGACACTGCAACCGTCATAAATATGAATCGGTTGCCAAGCGTTTGAATTTTGATGACATGATCATGGGGGATGCTGTAAAGGTCGTAACTGTGAAAACCGGTCGTAAGTCAAATTTTTCAATGCCATTAATGGTCACTAAATGAACTATTCTAAGTTGAGGACTACCTCTATTAGCAAGAGAGAAGGGCTGAGCCTCAAAGGGGCAAGGGTGGGTGAGAGGGTGAAGCCACTACAAAGAATCTCGCACCCCAACTGAATTCCCATTCTAATACAGGAACAGACAGGAAGAGAGAGAGGTTAGCCAGCATAGAATTTAACACACAGCAGCCTCTTTTGCTTTGAAGTCCTTCTCCCTCTGCAAGCGATACTGTTCGATCTCAGCCTGAGCTTCTTCCTTGGCCTGCTTCAGTCGCCGATTCTTCCCTGGTTTGAAAAACAAAAGCAAAATGTTCAGAGGGCAAAACAGAAAAGAGGCTTTTCTGAGATTAATTTCAAGTGATAACGTCGTATTCTGAAAGTCATCCAGGCTGAAATCATTACAAGTTCAATGGCTACCCACCCGCCTCCCATGGAGGATCTGTCTACTGCACGAGTCAAAAAGAGGGCTGTGAAAATATCTACAGACCCCTCGCATCCTGGACATAAACTGTTTCAACTCCTACCCTCAAAATGACACTATAGGGCACTGCACACCAAAACAACTAGACACAAGGACAGTTTTTCCCTGAACACCATCACTCTGCTAAACAAATAATTCCCTCAACACTGTCAAACTATTTACTAAGTCTGCACTATTATTAATCTTCTCATCATTCCCACCACCTATCTCCTTCCACTTATGACTGTATGACTGTGACTTTGTTGCTTGTATCCTTACGATTTATATTGATATTGTTTCCTGATTGCTTATTTGTACCCTATGACTATCATTAAGTGTTGTATCTTATGATTCTTGATGAACGTATCTTTTCTTTTATGTACACTGAGAGCGTATACACCAAGACAAATTCCTTGTGTGTCCAATCACACTTGGCCAATAAAAAATTCTATTCTATTCTGATTTATGTTGATTGCTGATTTAGTATCCTATGACTATCACTGTTGTATCTTATGATTTATGATTAATATATCTGTACGATGACTATGATCATGAATTATCACTTATTGCTTGTATGTACACTGAGAGCTTCTGCACTGGAGACAAATTCCTTGTGTGTCCAATCACACTTGGCCAATAAAGAATTCTAAGAATTCCATCTTTTCCTGAAAAGTTAGCCCACAGAACCGGAAACACCAAGTCTGATGCGTGGAGACAATCCAGTTTTTGAACATTCATTGTTGTCTTAACTAAAGACTTAAAAACATTGACATTAGTCAGAATTACTTTCCTAGCAATGCAACATTTCCAGCACATGATATATGACTCCATTGTTCTTGGCCAGACTAAGTTCCTTTCTTGAAGTCCTGCCAGGTGAAGGTTCTAGAGACCGCTATATTAAAAATTCATGCAAACATGGTCTGAAAATGCAATTTAAAAACCAGCGGTTTTAGCTAAGCTGAATTCCCAGCACAGATACTTAAAAATACGCCAACACTCCATAACTTTCACAATTCTGTTTTAATCAAGTTAAACTGATGCACCGTAGATCTCGGGGAACTATCAGTATGCTACTGACGTTATGAAGACCACAGGAAGACTGCAAACGAAAATTGGTTTTACACAAGTAAGTTATGAAACAAAATTCAAAAATTATTCTCAGAAGGAAGGCAGGATGTCTCTCCATGTCCCAATTTGTCTCCTTTCCTTGGATCGGAGCGTCTCTTAATAATAAATAATGCAAAACAAGATCTCTGCTAGGGAATAGCTTGGGGAGATGTTTCAAAGATTAGGTTTTGATCAAAATATTCCATATATGATAGTAACCTTTCCTCTGGATATGCTGGCCATTAAATTCTGCAAAGCTCAACCAGCATTAAGTGGTTTGCAGCCTGACCTTTGGAGGAAAAACTATACGGGAAGTTTACGGCTACGGCAAAAAATCACATTAGGGAAATTTCCCCAATTAAAGTGGTTCTTAAAACCTTTCAAACAGGGTAACTAAAACCTGGAAAAATGAGAAATGAAATCTTTAGTGAGGCTGTTTCTTGGTTATCCTCAAACAAACCTACCACAAAGCTAATAATTATCCCACCAATTATCCTCAGTGGTAGGTTTGCTCCTTTTAATGTTACCTATAATTTTCTTTATTTTTAATGAAAGTTTAATTTTGTTTACTGTTTATTTTTAATTATAAACTCTCCAGATTCATGGACCTTGAGATGGTTAATAAATACATGAACTAAACACGCAGCCTCCAGACGAGTCAATGCTATCCCACCCCCCCCAACCTGTTTTTCTCTGTAAAAAAAGACAATTTAGGACAAAACCCTTCTATCAACCCCCTCAAAATCAGTAAATCATAGCATTGCTCCGATCCAGAAATGCATCAGTTCCTTCATGGATTCAATTTGTAGAGTTGACCATCTCTCCTGTGCAATTCTGGGCAGCTCCCCTAATTAAAAGCCAGTAAATAACACAACTGATGAGCCAAATGCACAAATCAATACAACAACACAATAACCCAATTTAAAAACCCCAGACCCATTAAAAAGCAGGCAAGGAAAAGGCATGAATCCATCCATACAGGGCCATATTTGGATAGGGTTTGTTTTAAGGTAGCCTAAGGGTTTTTTTTTTTATGTACGCTGGGGAGGATGGGAGGTGTAGTCCAACCATTCCCCCCCCCACCTCACCCCGTACCACTATAATGCAAAGAATATGATCAAAAAACCCTGAATAGATGAAACAGGCAGTGTAAGGTCTCTGGGGAGGCTATGGGTGGCCCTTCCCACGCAGGATGATGGGATATGTGGTGGCTCTACGCCTTCCCTTTCCTAAAAGATGGGGGGGGCAGAGGATGAGACGTGGGATGCAATCCCTCGGGACTACCGTTCCCATGCAATCTGGGCTGGAAAGGCTGTAGATTAACCCTCTCCCCTTATGGGCCGAGGACGATGGGAAGTGTAGTCCAACCGACACCACCCCCAAAAGACCACCACCATGGAGAGAATTGGGACAAAACTCTTTGAATGGATGAAACAGGCTGGGAGGTTATGGGATATGTAGTGTCTGTGGAACCTCCCTTCCTCAATGGCTGGGGATGATTGGACGTGGGGTCCCAGACCCTTCAGGACATGGGACGATGGGAGGTGTAGTTCAACCAACCCCCAATTCCCCCCCGCCCAAGACCACCATAATTGGGGAAAAAACTCTTTGAATGGATGAAATAGGCGGGAAGGCTATGAGTGACCATAGGCCAAACAGGATGATGGGATATATAGTGTCTCTGGAACCTCCCGTCCTTCAACTGCTGGGGATGATTGGACGTGGGGTCCCAAACCCTTCAGGACTACCACTCCCATACAAGCAGGGCTAGAAACACTGTAGATTAACCCTCTCCTCTATAGGCCGGGACGATAGGAGGTGTAGTCCAACCAACCCCCAATTCCCCCACCCCGCCCAAGACCACCATAATTGGGAGAAAAAACAGGCGGGGAGGGGGGGAGGCTATGGGTGACCATTCCCACCAGGATGATGGGATATGTAGTGTCTCTGGAACCTCCCTTTCCTCAACGGCTGGGGATGATTGGGCGTGGGGTCCCAAACCCTTCGGGACTACCGCTCCCAAACCAGCAGGGCTAGAAAGGCTCTGTAGATCACACACATCCCCCTTCCTTCTCCCTTAAGGGCTGTGGACGATGGGTGGTGTAGTTCCCAGCCCCTCAGAAAGAGCCCCGCTTCCTCCCATCGCAGCCAAGGAGGGCCACTCACGCTTGCGGGCCTCGGCCACCTTCTCGGCGGCGCGTTTCTCGGCCTGAAGCAGCTGCTGGATGCCCTGAGACTGGCTGGCCATGACGGAGGCGATCCTGACAGGAAATTGTGCCCGGCGGCCCCGAAAGAGGACTGCAAAAAAAAAAAAAAAAAAGGACTCGTTGCCTCTCCAAAGCCCGCCCTTTCCGGCCGTCCCGTCGTTTGATTGGTAGGGATAGCGGAAGTGCCGTCGGAGGGCTTTTGGAGGGGGGTCGCTCTAGAGCGGGAGGGACAATCCTTCTCACGTGAGAAGCAGCCCGAGTAAGTACACGTATCTTTTCCCCCTTGGCTTTCTCAAGAGCGGGAGAAGCGTTTTCAAAGGGAGCCAGGGCTTCGTTTCCACCCCGTAGTCGAACTCTACGGTTTTGCCCGCTCTTTTTTTTCCCCCTTCCCTCAAGGCTTGAAAAGTTTCACTGCGCATGCGCGATTTTTCTCCCGCCCTTTTTTTTTGTTTCACTGCGCACGCGCGATTTTTCTTCTCTCCCCCTCCCTTTTTTTTAAAGGAGTCGTACTGTTTGTTTTCCAAAGAAAGTTTTATGTATCAAATACAAAAGTTGATTTGTTTAGGTTTGTTCCTCGCAACAAAGTATGCATGCACACACTCTCTCTCTCACACACACATATATATTTAAAAAAAATAGAATGAAAAATAAAATGGGAGACAGAAATTTATGTTTAAAAGTAACAGTAGAGTTGGAAGGGCTCTTGGAGGTCATCTAGTCTAACCCAGGAGACCTGTACTAGGGATTCGAACCGCCGAACTGCTGACCTTTCTGATCTCAGGGTCTTAACCACTGAGCCACCAAGTCAGAGTATTTTATTGCATTTCACATAATATTTATTATATTATCATCATCACTTATCATGACTATCATTATTATTATTAAAATAGAATTTTAAAATATTAAACGGCGGGGCATATCCGCCGCATTGTGCTTTCATGGTCTTTTATTACTTACTTTATTTTATTTATTTTATTCAATTTGTATACCTCCCTTCTCCTACTGGACTCAGGGCGGTGCACAGCCAAAATAAAAACATCCCAATACAAAATTTAAAAATTGTTAAAAGAATTACACAACTTTGGCCTAAATTTAAATTCCCGACTAAAACCCATAGACAATTAAAAATCTAACATCTCCCAAAAAAAGGGGGGGGGTTACACCAGCCCTTTATTATGAGATAACGAAATGCACATTAAAATAACTTTCAACTCCAGCTATTTAAATTAAAGCCCAATTAAAATTTACACAATTAAACTGCATTCGGAGAGCACCAGGGACCCCCCGCAGTTCAACCCTGAGCTACAAATATTCTCTTCTATTGACGCAAATGCAATCTGAATGATCAACGTAGCATAGTTGGCTTGTTACCTCTTCGCGATACTTTAATTAAATTCCTGTATTGAGCAATTGGATGGACCGAAACGGTCACAAATGAAGGCGAATCTACGTGTCCTGTTGCAGGATCCAATCTGGGACCAGAGGTTTTGTCTTCAAACTTTTGGACTCGTGCTAGAGCCCATCTTCAGGGAATTTCTCTCCAGCCGAGTGTGTGTTATGCTGTGTGTGGCATTTATATAGTGCCTGGTTGTGTGTGGCTTTTTAGATGTTGATTGGGGTGTGTGGATGCCTGGCTTTTACATCGATAGCTGTCGTCTGCCTGTGTGGCCCAGCTTTGAATGGCTGGTGGTAAATCAACCCTCCTGTTGACTGACGAGTGGCCTGTTTTCCAGGATTCAAATCTCTTCCCTGGCTGTTTTTGTCTCTGCTCGTCCAACAATCACATCTTTTCAGAAAAGCAGCAGAAAAAAACTGTGTGCAGTTTTTTTAGATGTACAGGCAGTCCTTACAACAGTTCATTTAGTGGCCAAAGTTACAACGTCGCTGAAAAAAGGTGACTTAGGACCATTTTTCACACTTACGACCATCGACCTTCTGACGAGCAAAATCAACGGGGAAACCAGTTTCACCGAACAACTCATTTGCCAAGGGCAGTGATTCGCTTAACAAAAGTGGCAAGAAAAGTCGTAAAACGGGGCGAAGCTCACTGAACAAATGTTTCATTTAGCAACTGAAATTCTGGATTCAGTGGTGGTCGTAAGTGGAGGACAACCTGAAGTTCCCTGAAGACCAAACCTCTGATCCCGGTGACCGACTCAAGATTGGATCCTGCACCAAAATGATCCTTTCCAGCCAAGCCTCCTCTTCGTTTTCCATTTCCCATATAAAAATCCCCCACTTGATCTAAAGCTGATCCTTTGCGACTTATCTCCCAATAATGTCAAAGTTTCCTCGGTTAAAAATTCTGCCTGCCAGGATTCTCAGCCAGAAAAAAAAAGGGAAGAAAGAGCTGCTAAACCTTGTGAATTTCCACTGTGGTTGGAACCGTGTTAACAGGAGTGACACTAAATGCTTTAGCTATAAACCTCACTTACACTTTAATGGCTGTGTAAATGCTGTGTTAAGTGAAAAGCAAGCACAGAGTATTCTAGCAGCCTCAGCTTCAGCTGCTGCAGGAGAAGGGGGGGAAAAATCTGCAAACGATGCTCGAGAATGACTAAAGACTAAAAAGCATGGCATAAAGGTCATTTTCTGCTGAAGTTTACAAACGACCCGTGAAGCACAAAACAGCACAAAACTCTGGGGCTGCACCGTATGATCCACAACCCCCCTGATGTTTTAAAGGTAAAGATTGGTTGGCAGCCAGAAGCTCTGCGAAAGGCTTATAACAAATGACCCTATTTACAGCCAGAGCCAAGCGTGATCGCCTTGCTAATCAGATTACACTGGGAGGGAGGATTTGGCACATAGCATTCGGTTCCAAGCGGGGCTGTTTTGAAGAACATTGGAACAAGCGGGAGAAGGAGAAACAGGAGGAGAGGAGAGAGAATCAGCAGAAAGGGAGAAGGAGAAGATGAATAATGAGCAGGAAAGAAGGAGAAGGAGAAATAGACGAAAGAGAGGGGAGAAGATGGATAACGAGCAGGGGAGAAGGAGAAGAGGGAGGAGGAGATAAAGAGCAGGAAAGAAGGAGTAAGATGAGGGGATGAAGAAGATAGATAAGGAGCAGGAAAGAAGAAATGGAGGAGGAAGAGATAAGGAGCAGGAAAGAAGAAGGAGTAGATAGATGACGGGGTAAAGAAGATAGATAAGGAGCAGGAAAGAAGGAGAAATGACAGAGGAGGAGGAAAGGGGGAAGAGATAAGATAATGAGAAGGAAAGAAAGGAGAAACAAGAAAGGGGGAGAAGATGGATAATGAGCAGGGGGAGAGAGAGAAGAAGAAGACAGAGGAGGAGGAGATAATGAGCAGGAAAGAAGGAGTAGATGAGGGGATGAAGAAGATAGATAAGGAGCAGTAAAGAAGGAGAAGAGGAGGAGAAGGAAAGGGGGAGGAGATAGATAATGAGCAAGATAGAAGGAGAAACAGATGAAAAGGGGAGAAAATTGATAATAAGCAGGGGAGAGAAGAAGAAGAAGATAATCAGCAGGAAAGAAAGAGTAAGATGGGATGAAGAAGATAGATAAGGAGCAGGAAAGAAGGAGAAATGGAGGAGGAAGAGAAAAGGGGGAGGAGATAGATAATGAGCAAGATAGAAGGAGAAGGAGAAACATGGAAGGGGGAGAAGATGGATAATGAACAGGGAAGAGAGAAGGAGAAGAGGGAGGAAGAGGAGATAGTAATGAGCTGGAAAGAAGGAATAGATAGATGAGGGTGTGAAGAAGATAGATAAGGAGCAGGAAAGAAATGATGGAGGAGATAATAAGCAGGAAATAAGGAGTAGATGGAAGATGTGGTGAAGAAAATAGATAAGGAGGAGAAAGAAGGAGGAGGGAGAAAGGAGAAGGCGGAGAACAATATTTTGCCATCACCTTCTGTCTGTATATGGGCAGAAGAGGACATTGGCTCCCTTCCCCAACTTCCCATTTTGCACACAATGGAAAATAGCTGTGCAGATTTCCAACACATCATCTGCATTTTTTGGTTGTAGTGCTGTGAAACCCGTCTTCAAGCAGAAATGAAGGTGGTGGGGAGAGAACAGAAACCCAAACCGTGTTTCATCTATGCCTCTTCACTCCCCCAACGGGTTCTACTTCATCTGGATTTAGTGGGTTGGGTGAGATGTCATCTACTCTATGTTTTGTGGCTTCCCACAAGGCTGTATTTATGGTTCCTTCAAGCCCTGGGAGCCCAAACTTGGAAAGAGGTGTTTGGAGCAGAGATGTTGAGAAGACCAAACACGGAGTCACACCTGGGACGAAGCGAGACACAAGTAGCTGGATTCTGTGTTGCACAGAATCACCTTTCGTTCAGGTTTCATTCAGTTCCTGCTGAGATAACCATAGCAACTCACCAGTCATCCAGAAATAAAATGCTGCTTTCCACGAAGACAAAGGTAGTTCAGAGAAGGTCTTGGAGAGAGGTTTCCCGGATCAACCAGGAGAGGAAAAAATGTGTTTGGGGGGAAAAGGGAAGAGTTGGGAAGAAATGGCAATCCTGAAGGAGAAGGAGCATCCTAAACTTTTGGTCTTCCTTCCAAAATATCAACTCGCCCAAACATGCATCCCAGCTTCCAAGCAGGGCCCAGGACAAACTCAACTTCATTTGATTTGCATTTGTTTCAATTCAATTTGGGTCATGTCTCTTCACATGAAGTTCTACTCTGGTGTAATGGTTGGGAGAAATATCCTTTTGGGTTCAGTTCCAAGTGAGGAGGAAGACACTGGAAACACGGTGGCTGATTGGAAAGATGGTTTATTGGTGGACAGGACCAGATGGTTTTGAGGTCCTGGGCAAAAAAGGCACATGGGTGAGTGAGAGAGAGAGAGAGCGATTTATACCCTCTGTTGGGCTTTGAATTTGAGCTGATTGGTTGTCAGACTCCCATGGGGCTATGCAGGGGTAACTTTGTAGGTTGTCTATGTCCTAGGCTTGGTTGAGTCTTGCTGGGTAATGATGTAATGAAGGGGCTTTGGGCAGTTCCTATTATGGCTCTGCTTGAAGGAGGTAGATCTTTGTTATGTTGAATAGACTGGCCCAGGCCTTAATGGCCCATTAACAAAGGTGGGGGGGGGGTTGCTGAGTTTCTGCCTCCCCACTTTTTTTTTTTT